TCAGATTTAATCATTCGTTCGAATTCTTCACATTTTTCTCATGATTTTATTTGTTCGGAACGATTTAATCTATTAAATAACGACAAATAAAAATTAGAGACAAGAGATAAATCCAGGAACAGCTGTGTTGACATATTATTTTTCGAGTTTGACAACTGTTGTTGCTTTATCACGACTTAATTCATCTAATTTTATTTTATAATCATTGATTTGACGTTCAAGCTTAATCAGAAAAAATAAAAATTGAAACTCTTATTAAAAGATTCTTCTTGTTTTTACTTCTGTGACTTTATTCTTAAAAGTAGAAATATTATCTTTTGTTTTTCTTGTTTGAATCGAGTTTGTACTTCGATTGGAAATTGCTTGAGATTTCTTCTGTTTTCTTTACTTAAATAAAGTTGCTTTCAATTGTTTCTTTCTGCAAATTGAACATCGATAGAGGTCGAGAATGTCTTCTCTTGAGCCATATGAAGAAAATAGATCTGAGAAATATATTTTCCATATACAGCAATAGAAAAAATAGCCACGTCTTTCTCATATTCTGTATTTATTCAACATATTGAGCTGTTTAGTTTAGTTTTCTAACGAAAGACAAAACAAAATCATAAATATTTTATTTAACTTCATATTTTCCAAATGTTTGAAGATGATTTTTCTCTTAGAATTACATGAATATCTTTAAGCAATATAGAAAAATGTTTGAAATATTCCTATTATGAAACTAGATTTGGTGTAGAACAAATGTCCGCGGTAGTATAGTGGTGAGTATCCCCGCCTGTCACGCGGGAAACCGGGGTTCGATTCCCCGCCGCGGAGTTTAAATTTTTATTTTTGTTGTAAACAATTGAAAGTTAAATTTAATCTGTTACTATAGAACTCGTTATGCTAGGATTAAACTAGCTATGTATGCGTTGGTGAACGAAACTAAACTATTAGAATATTGCATTGCTGAGAAAAATTTGGTAAAAGAATATGCAGAAATCTACTTTCCAAATTTAGTAACAACGATAAGATAAGCATTTTTTTCTTGTTTAAGTTAAGTTTTAAGTCATTTACTTAAATTTCTTTCAAGTTCTACAAATTAGTTATGTATCAATTTATTGGATAAAGTTCAAAATCAATCAATAATTACAATTCAGTATGTTTTATATGTCGAATATTTTCCTTTTCACATTTAACTTTAAGTTTTCGAAATAGAAAGTGACTTGTCAAAAATATATATTTTTCTTTATAATAGATGATGATGTTTTTATATTGAAGTGATTATCATAATCACTAGCATTAAGTTAATTAATTGTTTCATCTTTGGGAAGGCAATATTTTCAAATTCTTTGTTATTAGTGTTCTATTGAATTTCTAAGAGAAATGTCTTCCGTTTAGTATCAATTATTTTTGATAATTATTCATTAATGTACAACATTAGCAGTAGTATCAAACTTGAAAGTTAAATTCAGTTGAAAATAGAAAATAGAAACTTTCAACAACTCATGGCGATAATTTCAACTTTTAAATCAATAACATTCTGAAGAATAGTGACTCACACATATATCGCCATAAGTTGAAAGTTGAAAGTTGAAATTTTCTATTTTCAACTGAATCCAAGTTTCAAGTTTGACACTACTGTTTAAAAATGGAAAGTATATGATTTTGTAGCTCGTGGAAATTGCTATGAATGAGTAAACAAAGATCTACTTCAACGCTCCTCGACAAATTTTTATGAGACTAAAAGTGAAGCGCTTCAGCTAAAAAACCTCCAACAGTTAAGAATCGAACCAGTAGAATATAGCGAAAAATTTATTGAATAAACTTGATCTTATAGGAATCGATGCAGAACTAAATGCTCTATCTAATGAGACTAATCACATCTAGAAGCGGCGTTGCTGTAAAAATTTACCACCATGACGTTACGCCATGTGAATATCAATGTTGAAGAGAGTAGTATTCGCAGTACTCACCGCACTAAACATCATCAAATTGATGTGAAATAGCTATAAAAGAAGTCGGTGTACAATTCTACATCGGAATATACCAAATTTTAAACAATTCAAAAAATAGGCCGATTTGGCTTGTTATGCGCCGCCCTCCTTTGACGCATTTGATTGTTATTGGATCATCGATGACACATTATCAAGCTTTATCACTCAACCATTTTCCATCCAATACTTTTTCTTCGTCCATTCTTATGAAATTATGGTATGAAAAATGATTCAATGATTGTGCACAATATGGTGAGTTTATACAGGATTCTTTTAAATCAATATTTTCGATACGATTATTTCTATTAAAATAATACAAAATAATTATCATCGGTTTCTGCAATCTTCATTGTTGCCTATTTGATCAAAACTTAGAAATATAAACAAATTGTCTTTAGTCAGAATATTTGCACATTGTATATTTCACAGAACAAAAGGAGATGTGAGAAACCGTTACAAATAGTCAATCTTTCGAATAATAACTAAATCATTTTTCTAGTATGAAGTGTATATAAATTAATATATTTTTAGAAAAATTTATTGAATCTCAAATGCTTTTCATTAACATGTGAGTTTATCAACGCTTACAATGAACAATTAGTACCTCTCTTTCATCGTGTTTACCACATCTCGAAGAACTTACTTTGAATATTTGTACTGGCAATCGAGCTACATTTATTGAGGTGCCAGTCTTCATAATGATATTCTTATTAATATGCCACAACTTCGTAAATTAATTTTTTATATTTGTACCTATATTGGCCTGGATAAAATAACTCGACGTTTGTCTTATGACGATATTCGAGTGAAGGCATATGTCATGTCTTTTCACTTCCGTTTTCGTTTGATTGCCTCAAATGCACTGGCAAGTGTGACACGAAACTTCACAAGAGACGCAACGCGACTCAATTGTGATAAGATCAAGTCGCTAATTCTTGAAGAAACAATAGTACATTCAAGAGACTTTTATTTATATTTTCCTTCGTTGTAAATTGTATTGATTCTGAATATTTGAATTAAAATAATGACGGAAATATTTGTGTTGCTTTTGTTACTCTATTCAACTATCGGTAGTTTGATGTCAATATATGAAACTGAATTAGTTATTCTATATTAAGCAGCGATTCAGACTTTCGCTCCATCGTTTGAAAGAAAAAAGAAAATAAGTAGGAAATTGATCAGGAAAACGAGACCGACACAGGAAAAACGTCTTGAACAATTCATAAATTGAGCCTCAGACCATGAGATGACTAACTCAACTTCGAACATTAATGGAGACCTAAATAACTAATTACAATTCGAAAATAAATTTGAAAAAAGTGATCGAATATTCATTATCATATATTGATTTTTTTAATAGCTATGAAGATTTATTTAAAACTGTAGTAATTCACCTAAATCATTCGTCAAAAATAACAAATTTATATTTATCAAGTGCAATTATAAGTATGATTCTATACAATGAAATGAAGACTAATTAGAATATAGAAAACAAAATTTTTGTTCAATAATACAATTATATTTTTTTATAGTTGAACAAAAAATAAGAGAATTATTAAAAGTTATTGGAGACCGAAAAGTAGCTTTTCTCTACAAAAATAAGTTAACTATATAAATTCTCGAGGATTTTTCGGGTTGATTATTGGTATAAAAAGAAATTTAATAATATCCTTTAAGTTGACGATAAATTCGAGCAATTCCAAAAAATGTTGTTTGCAAGAAAACGAACCACTTGTAGGCATGAAGAAAGCAAAAATAAAATATAATGATTTTCGAAACTGTAAGATCAATAATGTTTGTAATGAATTGAGTTTCAAAAACAAATTGTATAAGTTTTTCTAAGAAGATCTTAGTGAATAAACAGTCAAGAAATATGATAAGCATTTCGAAACGATTCATTCTCTGGTCAGCACATATGGATCCTACTTGGCCAATCAAAGTTTTCAAAAACATTCATTTATTGAATAACATACAATGCATTAGACATTGCTCGAAAGAAAGCCATCTCAAAACATAGAATAATCATCTCTTGGACATTTTAATATAAGTAAACTGTTGAACAAAAACAAGTAAATACATGAAGAAAATCAAGGTATTCTTTAGAACTGATGAGTAAATTGCGTCCGAATTTGTTGTAAATAACATTTTTTATGGTATTGAACCAAAACGTGATCATTGATGGTAATATATAATGAAATGAAGCATAAATTTATTTGTTCTATCTATCGACATCGTCACATACATTATCTTTGAATGAATTAAATTAATATACGTATTGTTTTTTAAGAAAAATTTTAAAAAAAAGTGAAATAGGCAGTTTGAAAAATACTCTTAGAATAGTGTTGAATGCATATATGTAAACAGTAACAGGACATAAAAGAATGAGAAAGGAAAAAAAAGAGAACTCCGCGGCGGGGAATCGAACCCCGGTTTCCCGCGTGACAGGCGGGGATACTAACCACTATACTACCGCGGACAGAAACTATTCTTATCAGTTCAGATTGTCATCTATAGTTTTCATTTGAAAATTATGTTTTAAGTAAATAAGACGTGTATCGTAGAATATTTAACAAAAACTGTGTATTTATATAGAGTTAAGCTATATTAAACGAAATCAAGATACCTTGAAAGTTTTTCGAACTGTCATTAGAAAAGAAATTATCAAGTATTATAAAACATTAGAAAATAATTCAGTTTGTCTTTAAAGTTGTTTCTTTTAATAGATCATAAAGTAGATTATAGTAAAATAACAAATAATGAGTATATAATTTCTATGAAATAAAATTGTTTTTCGATAAATTCATTTTATAGTTATAAATTCATGATTCATTGAATTAATAACTACGGAATTCTATTCTCTAATATTATTCTAAGAAAATTATGTAAATATTCGATTATTCAAAATATACAAATAAACTTAATTTATTATAGCGTTAATAGGAAATTGTTTTCTGATTAAAAGCAATAGATTCTTTTTCCGTAAAAAATGTTTTAATAAGATTTATAGCAATCGGACAATTAATCCTAATCAGTGATATCGTGATCACTGTCATCGTCGCTGACAAGTTGATCATTTTTCCAAGGTACAATATATGTCAAGGCTTGTTCTTGTAGAAATAAATTTTTCGATTGTCTTAAATTTCGAATCATATTTTGACATTGCTGTTGATCGACACCAGATTGATTGAATACGTGATTTTTAAGTAAATCAAAAATGAACAATGGTCGATTTTTTTCTTCCATAAACCATTTCGCTAAATTTAGTTTATCATCAACATTTAATTGTTGAATAAAAGGACAAGAATCTGTTTTATTAATAAATATTGATAAATCAATTAAAATTCTTTCAAAATAACTTTCCGGTAAATTTTCTTCCAGCATTTTTAGTCCATCTTCAATATCTTCTTTAGTTTGAGATAATTTAATTAATAATTTTCCAATAAATGGAGCAAATGTTTTATCAAATTGAAAAATAATTGGAATAAGTAAACGAAAAGAAATTTTTTCTTCATTATTAAATTGATCTATATGAGATGTTAGATTTTTTAAAAGATGTTGAATACGATGATAAACTGGTAAATCATGTTGTTTATCAATAGCATTTTCTTTCGAATCGATTTCCTCTCTATATGACATCATTTTTTTAATAATATCAATAACTTTATCTATTGAAGATCTATTGAGTAAAAGAGAAAATAAATAATTTTCTTTTTTTTATTAGACATGTTTTTTACTTACATTTTTTGTTGTTTATAAGATAGAATTATTTTTTCAAAAGCAGTTTCCCATAGATTATCTGCATTTTTATCAAATTGAATACATAAAAGATGAGCTTTTTCAATCAATACACTCGTCTGACAATGTTCATATTCAACATTTGCCCAAGCCCATGAACGTGCTTCTAAAGATGTTGGATGATCTAAGATTTTAAATTGTATTCGATTAACAAATGTTTCAAATAAATTATTTGATGAATATTTTAATTTTGATAATGGCCAACGAGATTCTCCTCTATGAGCAGCAAATAAAGATTGAACTACAGGAAGATATTCATCATCTGCAGCTTGTTCAAGAATTTTCCAAATAATTATATCATTATCATCATTATTTGGATTTATTTTATCAATAAAATGAAGTAAAGTTAAAATAAGACAAGCGCGAACATCTTGATGAGGATGATTATCCCATAATGGTTTAACAACAGTTTTTATTAAACTTGAATTTGATACAAATTCAATTAATAAACGAAGAATTTCTTTATTTGCTGTTATACCTAAATAAAAATAAAAATATTTTAATACAGATTATTTGTTATTATTATTTAATTTACCAAGTTTTGGAAATTTTTCATCGGAAATAAATTCAATATAGAATTTTAAGAAAATATCATCATTTATTTTACGAGAAATATTTAATATAGCATCACTAATAAATTTCGCATTTGATGTATTTAAATTATTTTTTAATAAATCCAAATGTTTATATAAATTTTCTGATGTTATATCAAATCTAGCTGGTAGACATAAAACAATAGTATCAATTGGCTGAACAGCAGCACCACGAGTACGGCCACTAGTTGTTTCATTTGTATTATTTGTTGTTAATGCAGAACCTTGTTTTTTATTAATCCACTCAACAGTTTCATTATATGTATCTGATAAACGACGAAGAACACGTAAAGATTTCAATTTATCGACATTAGATATATCGTTATCCTAGACAACAAAAAGAAAAAAAAATAAAACAAGAAATATTTAGTTGTTGATATTTTATTTTATTTTCGTAAAATATTTACTTGAAGATAATCATTTAAAATAATTTTAGTTATAGTTTGTTGTTGTTTTCCAGTCAATAAACAATAACAAGAATTTAATACTTCAATATTTAATCCAGGTAATTTAAGATTTTTTGTTTCAGAATTTTTTATCAATCGAAAATCACTTGTTTCATTTAATAATTTGTCAATAGTCAAACATTTTTCATCTTGAATTAATTCATCTATAAATTGCCGATATTGTTGTGAACGTAAAGCAATACGTTGAACGTTTGTATTAACAAAAAATATTTTGTTGATATTATTAATTAGTTGATTAATTCTTTCAAGTTGTGTTGATTTATTTTTGAGAAAAAATGAAATCAATGAAGAATGCTGGTCGATATCAAATGATGATTGGATTTTTGTTGAGGAACAAAGATGTTCAGTAAAAAATAGATTAAGAAATGAATCAATTTGTGGTAAACGCCAAATTTTAATTGTAAACGAACTTAATGAATCGTTTAATTCATCTAACATTGATTTATGAATTAATTTTGGATATAAATCTGATAGAAGAATATCAGCAAATATTTTATTTGCTTCTTGATACGATTCATCTATTGATGAACTAGTTATTGTAAGACTATCATTTTTGGTGTAACATCTATATTAAAATGATTCTAATTAGTTTTTTGGCCAATTAAAAAAATAAAAGAAGATTTCATTTCAAAATTTTAAACTTAATCTTTTTTCTTTCTTTCTTTCGACATCATGATAGAAATAGTTACTTAGACTTTTCGATTAGAACTTTGAATAAGAAACCTGATTTGTTTATCTTTTGAACATAAAAAAGTAGAGAATTTCTTCTTGATAACAATCTTGCTTTTGATTTCATATGATTAAAACCGAACAAAAAGTATTTTGTAAATAAATATTTCATTACCGTTTAATGATTTTCATAGCAAACTCTTGAAGTTTTTCTTTTTTCTGCTTGTTTTGACAGTTTTCAATAATTTTAAGTAAAAATATTCCATAAGAAATGATAATTTCTAAAGTATTTCTTGATTGTTGTAAATGATTCATTGCAATATTTATAATTGATTCAATTAAATCAAAATAATTCGGTAAAAACTCTATATGAAAACGTCTATTTAATGAAGACAACTGGCGTAAAAAATATTCAATAACAATAATTTGTTCATTTGTAAATCTTTTTTGAATAAATTCTAAAACATTTTTAATAAATAAATTATTATTTGATGAAATAGCACATTGAATAAAAAGAAGATAATTTTCTTGTCTTTGATGGAAATCAGATGAGGTTTTTTTAAATAAAGATAAAAATTGATCAAATAAATCTTGTGTCATCAGTTGATAACGAATTAATGATAAACGTTTTTTATCTTGAATTATTCCATTTCGTTCATATTCTGATATTAAATGAAAAGAAAGAAATGTTGTTAATTCCGGATAATTTGAAAATAGATCCAGATAATTTTCATTTGCTTCCTTTAAGAATTTTTCTAAAAACAATTCTTTTCCGATACGTTCTTCAATAACTGTATCAATTAACCATTTTCTTTCTTTTTTTAATGAATATATATTTGAATTTCTATTTTCTAATAGATATTTAAAAATTTGTAATGTATTATTTGACGACCATTGACATGTATCATATAATGAAAAAAATAAATTAATATAATTTTCAATAGAAAATGATGTAGGCAATGACAATGAATTCAATTCATATCCTTCTTGACTCCATCTTGTCATGTATTTTATTTTACCTAAAATAAGAAAAAAATGAACTACTTATTTAAAAATAAATTATTAAATTATGAAGAAAAACACCTGGTTTATTTATAGCAACAATTGTTATTAATTGAATCATTCGATCAGGAACTTTTTTGAAAAAATATTTTTCTTGCGATTGAATAAATTGTGGTAAAAATCTTTTATGCTTTTCTAATTGATTTAAATATTCAATTGTTAAGTTAATTAATTCTTTCGGAATTTTTTTCGCAAGTAAATTAAATAATTTTTCATTTTTTTGAAAATAATCTGAAAATTTCTCATCATTTGTTTTTAATGCATCTAAATCTTCTTTTATTAAACGTAAAACAATAAGAGGTTGATAACGAATTAATTTAAAATAAAATGATGATAAACAATCGATTTGTTCGAAACGTTTTAATGACCATTGTGATAAAAGATTAATTATCTGTTCTTTTTTACAACAAGGTACTAAATGGCCATCAATATTATATTGATCATGATTATTGTATTTAGTTAAATCACAAATAAGATCATAAAAAAATGAATTCGATTTTTTTAAAAGTTTTATTCTAGGAAGAACTTTTAATATTTGATGCTTTAAACTAAATTTAAATGCATACAATTTTAATTATTTATTTTCAAGTGAACTTACTAGCGAGCAATATTTTTATCATTAATTACTTCAACAAGCAAATTATGAATTTGTTTTTCATCTTTTTGAAATTTAATCCAATATTGACCAGCAGAAATTCGTTGGTGTATTGGTAATGAATCATTCTTGAATATTTCCATTAAATTTTTATCATTTTTACTTGATACAGATAAAAAAATTAACATTTTTAAATCATCGTAAGATGAAAATAAGGATTCTTTTAAATAATTTTCTATTGAATCTTTATTAGGTATTGATAAAACATATTGAAGACGATCTCTCCATGTACCATTGATTTTTAACGATTGATATTCATTTATTGAAAACATTTTTCAAATTAACTAAAACCAAGAAAACAAATCATTTTATATTAGAAAAAGAACGATATAATTTCTATTGATGATGAATTTTTCTTCAAGGTAAAAAAGAAAATATTTACGTAAAACGAGTCTTAAAAGAACAGTTTTTTTCGTTAATCAGAACCGTGAATAAGAAATTTCTTTTTCGTTTTATATCTAGTTTTTTCCTCGATATATAATTATAGAAATTTTTCTTTAACACTAAAATAATTTATTGATAAATATAATTTTTTCACTGGAATAAAATGCTGGACAATGTATAATTTTAATAATAAAATATATATATACGTGTATAGTATCATTAATAAACATAACATCTGGTGCCATCTGTCTAACATACAATTTATTTATTTATTATATATCAATGAAAATAAATATTGATATAACATACTCCAATAAGAATTTTTTCGCTGTCCTCTTAGTTTTCTTGAATCTTTTTCTTTTATCTTATCATACACACATTTACACAACTCTTTAGCTTCGTCATATTTCTATCTTGAAAATTAATTAAAAATGGGTTTAAGTGAAAATGATGTCGCAAAACAGGTTAGTTTGTTTGATTTTATTTTAAAAAATCGAATTTAAAATACTGAATTAGATTCAACATATGATTGCATTTATTCAACAAGAAGCCGCTGAAAAAGTTGAAGAAATCGAAGCAAAAGCAGAAGAAGAGTTTAATATTGAAAAAAGTCGTTTAGTTTCTCAACAACGTGTTAAAATAATTGAATATTATGATAAAAAAGAAAAACAAATAGAATTACAACGAAAAATTCAACATTCAAATTTAGCTAATGCCAGTCGTCTGTCTATTCTTAAAGCCCGTGATGATTATGTTCAAGCTTTAAAAGAAGAAGCAGGACAACGATTATCTATCTTAACACAAAATCGATCCAAATATATATGTATACTTGCAAATCTTATTACACAAGGCCTTTTAATACTTATGGAACCAAATATTATGATAAAATGTCGACAAGATGATTATGGTCTTGTTCAAAGACTTATTCCCGATGCTATGCGACGATATCAACAAATCTTACAAATAGAAAATATAAATACTACTATTGATGATAAGAATTTCTTAGCTGATAATATGTAAATGCTTTACTTTCTTTTTTTTAACTCTATTTAATTAATATATATTTATTTATTTATTTATTTGACAGAGCTGGTGGTATTGAATTTTATGCATTGGAAGGAAAAATCAAAGTATCAAATACAATCGAAACACGTCTTGAAATGATTTTCAATCAAATGTTACCTGAGATTCGACAAGATTTGTTTGGTATTAATCAACACCGAAAATATTATGATTAAAATTTAATTAATCTTTTTTCTTCTTTTAAATCAGCTTCTATGATTTGACTTTATCTTATTTCATCATCAATTGTTTTAGAACATTTATTAAAAATGAAATTATTTATTTTTCTCTGCAGTGACCTTTTGATTAACACTAAGATATTTCATACGAAACATTTCATGAATAAAAAGAGAAACTATCTAGAAAGTTAAATTTTTTTCCAGGCTACATTCTCAACCAGATCTTTGTGTAAGGAAACTTTTGATTCTCTTACATGATTGATTCACGAGATATTTATATTAAAAAGGCACTAAAAATCACCATAGTTTAGTGTAATTAGTACTAGAAATTAACTCATTAAAATTTCATTTATTTGAATTAATTATTTTAAAAATGAGCTCTTCAACTTAAGATGTCGTCCAAGTGCAAGTTTCAAGTCAAACGGCTATGTTTTTTATTGGAAATAAATATTAAAAACAATATCGGAAAAGATCAAAACTTTTGATTGACATTCCTAAATATTTCTTTTACTGAAGGAATCAGTTGACTCAACTTCCATCGATAGCCGCCGTATGATTCATATTTTCATGTTATTCACAAATAAGAGATTTAGACCATACTGGAGATCTCGCATTTTCGTGATTAACTTTTTTTCTGTTGTTCAAAGAATAATTACAATGAATAAAACATCGTTTGTTTTATTGAAAAATAGATTTGTTTTGTATATTTTCTAGCTGAAAGTTGATCATAAAAGTCATCTTTCGTTGGTTATCAATCAGAAAGTTTATGCAATACTATCATGCCAAAGTGTGATACTCAACTTCATGACTCCTCCGACTTATCTAGATTTTCTTTGAACTTATAAATTCAAATATCTCTTGCCGAAAAATACGTAACATTTTCTTTTATTACTGTGTAAATATCAATTTATGATCGAAAAGACGATGTCCTACAAAATTAATCTCAATATGATCTGTTTCAACGGTTGAAATATCATAGACTGAAATAATAAAGATTATATCGAAAATGAATCGTAAAAGAAAATACAAAACTAAATAAGAAATACATCATTCAAAAAGCTTTTCCATAAAAAAAAACTCATTGAATTTCATCAAAGACAAGATCTTGCAAATAATCTGTCTTAGGGAGAAATCGAGGGGCATTTTTAATATTAACTATTTTTCAATTATAAATCAAATTAACAGATATTTTTATCCCTTAGAAAGGTATCTTTTATCGTTTTTGAATTTTTTAAACTGATAGCTGCTTTAAGAAAAATGAATAACTAATATCTAGTTGAATTCATTGTAAAATAACCCAGAAAGTGAAAACTCATGTTTGGTTTTGTTTTAGATATTGATCAATAAAAGAGTATTACAGATTTACATTGGCATAGACGACATTTATTCGAGGACATCGACTAAGACGAAAGAAAGAAAAAAGAATAGGTAATGAAAAAAGGTTTAAAATTGCACGTTTTTAAGTATTTTCTATCAAGGAATGTTAATGGAAAAATAAAAATAAAAAGTAAAAATTAATCATGATATTTTCTATTTTGATTAACACCAAATAGTTTTTCTCGAATTTCAGGAAGAATTTGATTAAATATCATCGCAAGACGAGCTTCAATTGTATTTGATACTTTGATTTTCCCTCCCATTGCATAAAGTTCAACACCACCAGCTCTAAAAAGAAAAGAAAAGAAAAATGAATATAGAAAATACAATTCAATTCTCACGAATCTTCAGCTAAGAAATTTTTATCATCGATTGTAACTTTAATATCATTTTGTTTTAACTCTTGTTTATATCGTTGAATAGCATCGGGAATGAGTTGTTGAACAAGTTCATAATCATTTCGACGACATCGAAGATTTATTTCTTTTTCCATAAGTAAAAAAAGACCTTGCGCAATAAGATTCGAAAGAATAGTTTGATATTTTGATCGATCTTGTGTTAAAATAGATAATTGTTTTCTTGCTTCTTCTTTTAAAGCTTGAACATAATCATCACGGGCTTTAAGAATAGACAGACGACTGGCATTAGCTAAATTTGAATGTTGAATTTTTCGTTGTAATTCTATTTGTTTTTCTTTTTTATCATAATATTCAATTATTTTAGCACGTTGTTGAGAAACTAAACGACTTTTTTCAATATTAAACTCTTCTTCTGCTTTTGCTTCGATTTCTTCAACTTTTTCAACGGCTTCTTGTTGAATAAATGCAATCATATGTTGAATCTAATTCAGTATTTCAGATTTGATTTTTTAAAATAAAATCAAATAAACAAACCTGTTTTGCGACATCGTCATCATTGAGACTCATCGTTTGTATTTGATGATGGTTTGAAATGAAACATTATAGAGAGGAAAATATTCGGAATGAATAAATCAATGTCGCAGGCAACAGCTTGATAATTTTATCAAATGTTAATTTGACAATATTTTTTCAATGATATTTGGCGAAAAAGATGTGAAGTTCCTATAAAAAATATCTATTCTATTATTACAAATAATAATCATTGGAATGAAATTCGTGTGAAATAATTTTTCTAACATTAGGGAAAAACACATTTTTCTGAAGAATCAAAACTGTTGAGTAGTTTTGACTAAAACGACTTCGGAATTTTCAATGTGAACATATTTATGTATTCATTGATTTATTTGTTAGATTCCTCTTTATTTGAACATCGTTTTCTATATTCACTATTTTGTTGGCCAATGTTATTTGAATTCGACTATAGAGTAAGTTATGTTCGTTCGATATTATAGTGCATAGTACAATTATAATTGAATGATGTATTGAAAATTTAGAAAAAGTCAACTTATAATATAGATAGCAACAATATTGTTTGATGAATTATACTCATTACAACTGATCAATCAAAAGAGAGAGTGAAACCAAATAGTTCTTAATCTCGATAGATTAAAGTTATCTAAAGATGATTGCGACTGAATTTTGTAAGATTTTAAAAACAGAATATCTCACATCAGATGGAAATTTGTTTTAAATGAGAGGCAACACGATTTATCTGAAGAAACATATGTATTTATTTGAAATACTGGCAAAAAAAACGTCCTGATATAATGCTAATAAAAATCAATTCAAGTATCCTGAATTGACACATGAGGAAGAGTTTTCAGAGCTAGGTTTGTTTCAAAAATAGTTTTTATTGTATTGTCACGAAGTGCACGAAGATATTCTCCATGAAAAATCTATAAAATAAAATAAAATTTTCGATAGAAATTAATTAAAAAAATAATTTCCAACCAATAGAATTTGATAATTTTGTTTTTCAATAATTCTGTATCTCATTGTTGTATGTGCGCTAAGAACACGAACTAGAGATCCATCTGATCGTTGTTGTTTTATTAACATTGAATTCAATATTGGAAGAACAGCTATGCTATTAATTGATTTATTCTGATATTATTAAAATAAATTCTGAAATAAAAACAAACCGTTGTTGTGTATTTATACCAATTGATTTGAATTGTTCATTATCTGGTAAATTTATTTCTAAAACTTTATAAAGAAAACTTGAAAATGAACATCTATTTGAAAATAATAATTACAATCAAAAAGTATATTAGGATAATTTTGATTCGTATCAATTATTTGACATGTTCCATTTCCATAGATATTATTAAATAAATCTTTTAATTCAGTTAGAAATTTGTTGTATACTTTTTGATTTTTTCGAATTGATAATCGATATTCTTCTGCAATCTATTGTAAACATTAATTAGTTGAACTCTAAGGAAATAAAATAAATATTACTTTTGTAGCAAATACAAGCATTTCGGAATTGAGTAAAGGAGTTTCAAGTGATGGACGATCAACAACTAATGCATGATGAATATCAAATAATTGTCGAGGTATTGACCATGTATAAACACCTAGATCACCTATTAATAGGGATGTTTTTTTAAATTTTATTATCAATTGCTTCGAAAAACAAAACAATTGAAGCAAAGCTAAGAAACAATCAATTGGATTTTCATTTTTCTTCTATCTTTTTTTGTAGAAAATTTTACTTCTCTTCTTTCAATTTTCATATTAAAAATAATATCTTCTTAAGAGAAAAAAGAAATTCTTGAAATGATACATTCGATTTTTTGTTTCTTTCATTTGGAAATAAACTAGGGGATTATAGTTGTTTGTTTGAAATTTCCAATTGCTCAATTCAGTAAAATCATTTTCTTATTTTAAATTAACATCAATTGAAATTAATTCTTTTGTTAACTTTGTATTATTCATTTGTCGAATTATTCTAAGTCGATTTTTCTCATTAAACTTAATTAATTTTAAATTAAAATTAAAGATAAACGATCACGTTGAAAAATAGAAATCCTAGGACTTTAATTTCTTAATAAATGAATCAATCTTTTGAACTTACGAAACAAAAATGGAAAAAGTTGATGTTGAACAGTAGAAAAAAGAAGTTGATAATTATAGATATTTGAAAGCATCATCCCATGTTGAGCTTGAACGATCCATTGAGCAAATTTATTATTTTTCTCAATATTTTCACTTATTTTTCGACTCAATTCAACAATAATTGAACGAGATTCAAATCGATTTGTTGGATCAGTTAAACATAAATAATAAATTAAACGAGAACACAATTTTATATCAGACAATGTATTGGAATCTATAAATGAATAAAAAACAGCAACAAATAATAATTTATCACATGCAATAAATCAATAAAACATACTATCTTTGGATTTTTTTAATAAAGATTTAATTTTCTCATGAATTGCTCTAATAAATAATTCATGTGAATAATCAAATGAAGATATTAGAATAAGTAATTGACAAATAATGTTCGAATTATTCTGATGAATTCCAATTTCAATTAAATATTCATTTAAAAGAGATATTAATTTCGATGGTGTTTTACTTGTAGATGAATGTTTAATTAATATGAAATATTCAATTATTGATGATGAACAAGATTTTTTATCATAAAGATATTCTAAAATGATATAAGGCCATAAATCAATGGTTGATGATGATGGCATTTCAACTATCGAATGAAGTGTTAAACAAAGTTGATTTACTAATTCTGTTGATCTTTTGTCAGACAATATTGAAAATAAATTAGTTAATAAATAATTAACGATAGATGTTTCTTTTAATAGATATTTAGCATGAGATAATGAATGTTGAGATGATAAGAAATAAACGAAAAATGCTAATTCACATAGTAATGATAATGAACTAAAAATATTCAAATTTGTTTTTATTTAAAAAAGAAAAGAACTTCTTTTAGATTTTTTTTTGTTCTTAGGAATATTCTCACTATAGACAATGAAAAAGAATGAAGTTTTAAGAAAATTCTTTTGATCTTATCGAAATCAAAAAGAAAAATGAAATCATTTCTTGAAACTTATTTTTTATAGATATTTATCGAAATGATGAAAGATGATTTAAAAAACATAACTCATTATTGATAATTGCACTTAAGTAAGAATATGTTCTGTTTAAAGATGATTTAGTGGAGACTAGAAATGTTTCAGGCGGGAATAGATTGAATCATTCTTGTCACCACCTGCTCAATAATCGATCTATGAATATAGTCGAGATAAAAATAATTAAAAATTAAAAATATAAAGCTGAATTTCTTTGTCAACAAACTTTTGCTTAAAGTAGTTTCGATTTTTTGTTAAATGAATAATTGAAGTTGAACATTCTTTTAATGAAATATCGACATCAAATGTAATTAGTCGATAAGTAAATGCGACTTGTAAATAACGAATATATCGAAGAAGCATCATTAATTGTTCTTGATCTTTTTCTTTGAAATTTCCAATTTGTTGTTTTCGATCATTTTCAAGTTCAAGAAATATTGAATTGAGTTTTGATGAATTTTTTTCATAAATTTCTTTTGTTGATGTTGCTACAGTTGTTGATGAATATTCTTCATGAATTTTATTTAATGCATCATACAACCATTTACATGAAGATGATTTATCATCTGCTGATTTAAGTAATTCTTGAATCTTTCGACTAGATTCAATTAAGTCTGATTTACTTATTGATAAATAACGATTAGTTTTTGTAACACTTTTATTTATTGATTTTAAATAACGATAGAGATTCAACATCTTTAAGACAAGCAATATAATCGTGTCTGATTCTTACCTTATAAAAAAAGAAATAAATTTATTTATCGACTAGGGGGGACATCTTTTTAATTGTTCATCTACGTATATCTACAGCTAGAACTTTTTGAATTAGATGAAAAGATGATTATTTAGACCCCAGACACAGACACTTAGAATCAATTCAACTTTTGCTTATTTTAAATAAAAATCAAATTTTTTTCATTACTTTTCCAGTGACTGCAAAATATTTTTCTAATTTAAGCTATTTAATTGCCTATTATTCAATCAGAAGAACTTTCACAAATGTCTTGAATGGACTGTCAACATCAATCTTAAGAGAATTTTGTTTTCTACTATCCGAATTCCAGCGGTTTATTTCATTCTTTCGAAAAGATTTCCCAATGGATCTTATGAATCATTGACTTAAACCTCTGGATATATCGACCTTGGGAATCACAATGTTAAGCAACCCTAGACGACTACAAAGCAGAAAATCATTGTATTGAGTATTTCTCAGGAATTTTTCATAAAAAAGCGATCTTCATCTTATTTTGCTGTTGGTTCCATTTTCTGGTATCAAGAATTTCAATGCTGTTATTTGATTGTTGCATTCTAGTTAGGAGATTACTGAAAATTTTTATGAAGATATAAATTTAATCATGTTCAAATAGATTTCGTCGTAAAACAATCATGACCAAACGAAGAATAATCAGAAAAAAGATTTATTCATTCATTGATTCATTTTTTTCTCAATCATTTCAAGGGAACTTCATCAAGTCAAAACGTTGAGTTAGAAAAATCTGTCATCATTCTTTCAGCCTATGGATAATAAATCTCCTTAAACTTTCTACTTCAAGTATTATCAAAACAACAGTTCAAGTCATTTTAAAATCATATTCAAATGAAAATACTTCAAATTTGCTGTGTTAAAATGATTGAAAACTTATATAATCTATTTATTCTATGCAAATATAAAGCATGTTAAACGATGAGAATTAAATCAATTGCTGGATAAAAATTGATATTAAATATGTAATGAGAAAAGAACTTTTAGTTGTTGACTAACAGGAACTGTTTTTAAGAAAAATATGACAAATAAATAAAGATTTCAAATTAATTTAATAGATAAAATTTTAGAAAAAAATCCAAGAAGAAAACGTAAATTATAGTTGTACAAAAGATGGTGTACGTATATAAGTATTCGTTGGTGGTGGTGATAAAATAGTACTTCTTTGTCTTACTACATGCATTCGAACTGCTTGTCGAGCATGTTCACGTTGAGATTTAGTTCGAAATAAATTCATAAATTTAACAAAGCAACATAATTGAACATAATCATTTAATAATTTTCTTATTTCATGCCGAAATGATTTTCCACTTAAACAATAAACATAAAAATTTAATGAACAATTAGTTAATATGACAACACTTGTCCAATGTGATAAAAGTACATTCGATGTTGACCAATGTACAATGGTTGCTGTTAATGATGAAAAACAGAAAAGACACGAATGAATAATTAAAACAATATTCATCCATGATGTACGTGGTCTGTTATGAACTATTAAACCATCAACACCTTCCTTTATTTGAAATGAACTGTTATGAAGTTGACGCATTGTTATCGATGTATTTGTTTTTGAAAATGATAATGTTGCTTTAATAACACATACTATTATTCCAATATTAAAAAAAATAACTAATAATGATGGAATTATTTCAGAAAATATTGAGCGAAGTGTTGTATAATTTAAACCAAAACGAACATCAAGTAAAAAACTATGCCATGATGGATCTATCAAACTTTTTAAACCACAAACCATATGAAATGAATGATTGCTCTTTTGCCTATATGTTAAGGGTTCATCATGACGAGCATATTTTGCCAATGATGTTGAATTTGTTAATCTAGAGAAACAGCAAATAAAGAAAAAGTTTTTCGAAGTTTTTCATTTAATTGAATGTTATTTCACAATTAATTGATTAAAATTTAAAAATAAAACTTTTCGTATTTTTTTCTTTAATATTCGAATTAACTCATTTATTTTTATTTTCTCAATAGAAACATTTGATTAATAAATTATTCAGTAAAATATCTTCTAAGAATTCTTATCTGTATTCTGATCAGATAAATAGATTTAGTTCGCTTAAATTTATCAAATTTTATTATCTAAACATAACAAAAATATGATAAAAGCAAAGATCTATCATTAATGTCTTAGATAGGCTATTTTTATCTTTTTAATATAGGAATAAACTTTTATTTATCAATTAATTAAATATCTATGATAATCTTGGCGAAAATTATATCCTGAAAGTTCTCTCTCTAATATTTTGTCTATGAATGAAATTATTTTTTATCTTTTTGTTTATCGATTAATTTTAAAACCCTAGAAAAATTACCTAAATATTTTTATTAATGTTTCATTTTGTTGATTTATTGTTTGAGGAATAAATAATGGAATTGATTTTAGTTCATAAAAATAAACAGTCGGCCCAGTAACAGCAGTAATAATAATCAAAGATAAAATGGTCATAAAATAAAATTTATATTTTTTAACATAAGGATTTTTTGTCACCAAACGAAAACTAATTGTTACATAAGTAAATCTTTCATAGGTCCATGCAATAGTTACAAATGCTGATAACATTCTTAAACACGATGAAAATCTATATAATTTACAATTAAACCAAGATTGTCCAGTTTTAAATGCAATCCATCGACGTGTATTTGAATGAAGAAGAAGTGAATAACGATAAACACATAGAAGATTTATTATTAAAGATGTTATTGCTAATCGACCATATGTAGTTCGACGAAATTTTCGTGATGAAAATACAATTAAACCAAAATTATTTCCAATTGTACCAAGTATAATCATTATTATACAAATCCAATCGAAGATTTCATTTGTTGTTAAAAGCGACATGACATTACATCTAAAATAAAATGTTCATTTTTATTTTATTTTCAGAGTTTTCCTTTTCATCGTCAAATGATTTCTATGAATATGAATAACAATAAATAAGTCCAATATGTCATATCAATCTTATGAGAATTAACACATCATGATCAATTCATTATCACCCACCACCACCAACAACAAATGAAGAAATCTTTGCTTTTGCTCAGTCTATATCTATAAATCAAATATGATAAGAAACAATAATAAAGATATTGTTATCTTCAATTTTTGTAAATCAAAAATGAAATTAATTTATCTAACTAACTAAAGAAAATAATTTGATGTCACATTAGCAAAAAAAAATAAAGTAAATCCTTATCTATGCTTTGATATTTTCTACTCGAAGTAGCAAAAAATAAGCAACACAGAAAATAGTAACAACGATTATTATTTGAACAAATCATTGGCTAAATAAACTGTTGTACATTGTTTTTCTTGTGAAATTTCATAAATAAAACATGTGTATAATGAATAAGGTAACTACTTTAATTAAAAATAGAAGTAATTCTAGAAATAAATGATATCGATTTATTTGATATAAAAAGTAAAAAAAGAAACTTAGTCATCAATCTGAATTGATAATAAATCGAAAATATAATAGGAATAAAAATAGCTCATGCTGTTTTATCACACATTCCCTGTTGACATCATTCTATGAAAAGACAAAAGTTTAGTAGAAAACATAGCTTATTTTTTCGTGTGTTGTTCTAAAAAAGCCCTTCTTTCTCTTATGCATCGAATTAATTATTCTGAACGCGTTTTAGATAACATCCGATTCAAACTGAGTATAAATGTTTTTCGCTAAGAGAATGCTTAAGTCATATTTAGTTAATTGATCATGCCTCTAAAGAAGCATCAATATAATAATCGTTTCTAGGAGAGTTCTTTCTTTTTTCTTTTCTATTTTACCTCCCCCCCCCAGGNAAAAAGAAAAAGAAAAGAAAAGATGCAATATGAAATTCTAATTCTCTTAGCAATAATGACTCGTGTTTCTCAAGTACATTGTCAATAGTAATCTAGTCGAATGGTTGAATGATTTATTCTGTTTTTCTTTTATGTTGTAGCATAACACGATATTCATGCAGAATGACAGCAGTCAGATAACATGACTAAGTTCGAAAAAGGCAACATCTACTAATGGCACTTACATATAAGTAACTATAGGGAAGACCAAGAAAAAAAAGAAGGTTTACTCTAGGAAAGAAGAACTGTTTTATTTCTGTTAACATACAATGAATACCGTCAAGTAGAGTCCATTCCGTATCTGAAAACATGATTTGACAATAAATAACAATATGTTATCCATTTGTTATAATAATCAAATATCATGTTGTTTTTTCGAATAGATTTTCATTGGCAAATCAAAAATATGTCGACATTGTCTATTATAAAAAACAAGTCTCGTTGAGTTCTAAATAAGAGAAAATTTCCATAAAACATCTTATTTTTAAATTTATTTATTATGTCTATGATGAAATTTATAGTAAAATGAATAAAAAACGAATGAAAATTCTTCTATCTTTAAGAATATTCGATCAATCTATTCGATTGATTAATATTTTTATTTTAATTGGAATTTATTTATTATAAGAAATAAAAGAAATCTCACGAGTTTGTTTCGGTTTTTTCTTCTATGATTTGCTGATGAAGCAAAATGAAACCTTCGATTTTTCTTATTCGAAATAGAACTAAAAATTTGTTAATTTGAAATTTTTTCATTTTTTGTTTTTAAATTAATTTAAAACATACACTCAAGTCGAAAATTATTATATTAAAAACGAGAAAAAATGTATGAAATAGGAAAAAATGTTTGAAGTGAATTATAAATATTTGCTTACCAGTAATGAATAAGTAAAGAAGCATATCTCAGTATGTATATAGTTGATGTTAGCTGTTGCCATTTATGTTGTTTAGGATTTCTTTTCTTGTAAATTCATTTAGACACTTTCTAGATTATATTATTAATACACTGTTGAACTTAAAAATCGACTTTTTCACCAGATGAGAAAACTTTTCCAATAAAATTCAAGCTATTTTCAATAAAAAAACAAAGACAACTAAAATGAAAATGAAAATCTCTATCGAAATTTCAGTGATAAAGTTAGTTGAGAGAATCACTTAAGAACATTCTTTTGTTTTTGCCTTTGTTGTCAAATCATTCGGATTCCAAATAACAGTTTATTAACTTTCGATGACACTTATGAATACGTTTATATTTTATGATTCTTTTTATAGATATTATTCGTGAGATATTTATTACATGTGAAGTTTTTTCTCATCAAAAATATTGATTATTATTATCCTACAAATACAAGCCGGTCTTGATAAAGAAGATTAATACTAGAAAAATGAATTTATCTTATGCTATTATTTATTTCTGTCAAGGACGGAAAAGAGCAAAACTTTCAGAAATTGTACATTACATGTATAAAATAAAAGAATTAATTAGCGAACAATAGTAAAGAATCAGTGTCTTTCAATGAAATACGTAATTAATTTTTTAAATTTTCAAGTTCTACGCTGCATATAATAAGATCAGAATAGTTGTTAATCTATATTCAAATCATATGTTTAAAGAACAAAAACAAAGAAGAAAATTATGATGATTTCTTGTCAATGGCTGCTTAAAAGAAAAGATTTGATAGAAAAATAAAAAATAAAAAAAAGACTTGAACTCGACTGATTAAGGAATAGAGTCACATTGATAATTCGTTCAGCTTTCTTATGATGTCTTATATAGTGGTGCTCACTAACTTTTGATCACGCTATATCAATCAGGTCAAGTTTGTTTATTAATAATGGCGTTGAGAAAACTAATCAGAACAAGAAATATACAGCTTTCCTGTTAAATATTTTTTCGACTTCTTTACATATTTGCGTTTAGTTGACAGCCGGATAGTGTCATTGGACATTGTCAATAATGTTTTTTCAGGATTATTTCTCGTTTATATCTTTTCGACGTGTTTAAGGAAAAAAAGCAGCGGTACTCTAAACAATAAACAATTGATGTACTATTTACAACATAGTTTTATTTATTGGAACGATTTATAGGAGAATTCATCAGAAAAAATATTGCAAGGCGAAACACGTTGACTTTTCCTTTAATGGAAAAGTGCTTTTCATTGATATTTAACGAATAAATTCTCAACGGGGATAATGCTTTTCTTGCTAATACCATTTCCGATCGATTAGCAAAACGTTATTTACTTATTTAGTTTTCTCTCTTTTCTTTTTTTTCTGCTTGTCGTCACAAAGAAAAACGTTCATTTCATTGGTATTTATCAGCACGATTAAAACGAGAAAATCGTCTAAAGAAAAAACAGCAAAACTATTTAGAAAACATTACTCTAAACCTGCTAATTTATTATTAAAGCTTTACGCTAGAAAAAGTATCAGTTCTGTGAGCCAATTACCAACTAAACCAAGCTTCTTATCATTCTAAGCAATAAAGATAGTGATCTTTTTTCGAAAGAATAAAGAGCAGAAGTTTCTTTCTAGAATAATCAACGTTATTATATGTCATGAACAACAAAAAATAGAACATCTAATTTTTTGAAATTTATTTCAACAAGTTAGTAATAAGAAATTCAATTTTCCTTTGTTTTTGTTTTTTGAGAAGAAAGAGAGAAAATATTTAAAAGAAAGGAGTAATAATATATATGAATAAATAATATCATTGCTATTTGCAAGTAACGATTGACGTTAGAAAATAGTGTCGATTAGAAGTCAAGATAACAAACATGATTAGTTTATTAATATTAAAACAATTGATACTCACATATCTAGTTGAGAGAATTCATTGGAAGATCATATAGCAGAATTATTAGAATTTATATATAGAGAAAATAAATTCAATTTGACTTTTTTCATTAGTTATTAATATTTATTAATATTGTTCTCAGTAATATTTTATTTTGTTTTATCGAATTTAGAAAAAAAGAATTCTATCAGAATAAAGAAACAAGAATAATCTTTATCAATATAAAAATCGAAGCATGTTAACTCATGCAGAAAAAACAAGAAAAATAATACGAATATGTATTCGATATTGTCAAATTAATAATCAAAGATTTTTTATTTTTATGTCAACGTCAACGATGAGTCTATTTTAATAAAATAGTTCATATTATTATTATAAATATACAATCATTAACGAATATTTTTTGTCAAATTTGTTTGTTTTTTATGTAACAAACAAAGTCAGATAAAAAAGAGATACAGAATAAAATTAAGTAACTAAAGTGTGTACATGGAATTTAAGATTTTATAAAAATCGATTTATATTAACTAAGATAGATAATTCTTTTTTTTTAAATTTTTCTTCGATCATAGAATGAATTTTAGACGAACTCAAATTTATTTATCAATAATAGAATTTATTTTTATCAGGAAATAAAATACTAAAAACTCAATTTATTAACAATAACTTCATAAAAAAAGAATTTTATCAATTATTTTATAGAAAACAATCAATATTGTATTTACATTTATTTGTCTTATCGTTATTTTTCTTGTGGATTCATTCAGAAAAAATGATAATAGTTTTTTGTCACACAATTCATAGATTTTTCATTCTCAATTTTATTTGAAAGTCTCGAAATTTCCGTTTCATTTATATTAAGTTGATTATTGTATAATAACATTGTTTTAATTCGTCTCAAATAAATTTTCAGAATATTTCCAAATTCCTTTTTTCTATTTCTTATAAATCAGAGTCTTTTAATATTAATATACAATTATAATTGTTCATTCAGATTCCTCAACATAAAAATATTAGAAAACAAAACACTGTTGTTTCTTTTTATGGAAAATTTAACTACTGCGATTATATTACATTCAATTTCAACAGTTAATAATCGACAATTAAATTTTTAGAATAAAAAAATTCTACTAGCTATGAATTTATAATTTTCCCAATGAAATCAATATAAACAAGAATCTAAATAGCTCTTTTTTTTAAATTTTAGAACAAATTTTTAAGATATCAAACGTTGACCATTTTCAACGAATAGAATTCATGAAAAATGTCAAAAAAAAGATAATATTGAGTAGAATTCTCTTTGAGTAATCAAAAAATACTAGATTAGAGAATGTTGACTAGAAAATAAAATAGTTTCCTCAATTCGATGCAACATCTCTTGATAAAGAAATATTTTTAGATTTTTCAGTCTAATACTCAAATGAGAAATGTTATATCTCGAAGCATATTTATGCGTTAAATGTTCTATCTAATTTTAATATTCTGTAACTGTATGACCTCATTTTATCAATATTATTAAGTGCATTTGTGTCCGCTTTCGAGTAATTATGTTTCCATTTCCTCCTTCACTCACAATAATTATATATGTATAGGCGTATAATTTTCTAGATGGTCACTAAAAACTGATGTAGAATGACTAGGCATCGTCTATGAAAAACTTATTTCCTTTATATAGAGTTTTGGCTAAAAATTTAAAAAAACAAGAGGCTGGGAAAAATTATATCCTGTTAAAACTTGCTTCTATATACGTTACATCTAACAGTTAGACATATGATACGTATATAAATATGTACTATGATAAAATCGTCGACATATAAAATATGTTAAACTCCGTTGTCATGACGTTTTTCTTTTCTCTACATAGATATAATTGTTCATTTAATATCTTTCAATTGCTTTATTTTTCCAATCTGTTCGTAGATTATTAGGGTCTATATGATATTCCTTCTTCTAGCCTGAAATATCAATATATGAATTTGTAAATTTACTTTAGAATTAATTCTTAACTTCCAATATTGAAATTAATTGATAAAAAATAAATCAATTAGTCTAAATTCTAATAATTAGAGAAAAAAAGCTTTGAATTATATTTAATTAAAATGTATTATTAGAACTAATTCAAATATTTTCTTGATTGATAAACACAGATTAGAATTCGAATATAAATGAATTATTAATATTAGTTAACGTGTGAATTAATTTCATTGTATTTTTTCTTTTTAACTAAATAGAAATATTTTCTATGAATATTAAATTCAAAAATGATATCGATTAATAAATTTTTCATACAATTAGATTAGACACAAGTATTGTCTTAATCGATGATAATCAATAGATAATTTCGATGAAATACTTTATTACATACGCATTAAAATTCAACAGAGCTAATAAAATTTCGTGATTGAAATTCTTCTCTTTAACGTTCAAATCGTTTCTTAAAAATATTTCAAGAATATATTTTTGTCAAGGATTAATCATCAGTTAGATGTTTATTTGTAATAAAAATCTACTTGTTATATTACTTATTCTATTCGTTATAAAATGCACGTGATATTCAAAATGAGTGACAGATGTTCGTTTATGATAAGAAAAACGAAACGAAAAGAAACAAATATTTTTCTTAACAAACAAATGTCGACAATAATCAATGATTTTCTTTATTTGGGTTCAATAAATGATGCATGTACACCATCGATTTTAAATCAATTGAAAATAACACATTTAATTAATTTAAGTTTAACAAGAATTGTTCTTGAAGAATCATTTGAACTTCTTCATTTACCTTTATACGATAGATTTGATGAATCTATTATTAATTATTTCAAACAAGCAAATCAATTTATTGAAAAATGTCGTCAAAATGAAAATGGACGATGCTTAGTTTTTTGTAAGCACGGAAGATCGAGATCCGTTGCAAGTATGTTCATAGGCTTTTCTTTATGAAAAAATTTCTATAGAAAGTCTTCATTGAGCGATTCTATCTTACTAGAATATTGCATCAAAATTTGACAGAAATTTTCTTTTTCCAAAGTAGTCTAATCGAAGAATTTTCATAGATGAAATTTGAAGTTATGAAAGAATATTTATTAGCCAATAAGTTAAGCTTTGAATTATGTTTCTTCAGTAAATAAATCTAAATTGATATATTAATTGGAATAAAAACTAACTTTTAAAATAAATATCTAATAAAAAGTATCGATTTAAATAGCAATAGAAAAAGGCACGAATTTATTTTAGTTGTAATTGGCTATTTAATTGAACATCATGGTCATACAGTACCATCTGCTTATTTATTATTGTCAAATATTCGTCCAACAATATCACCGAATCGAAATTATATTAATCAACTCATTAAATATTCTTCTCAAACGGAACAAACTCTTTGTCCATTTATTTCTTCCTGAAAACATGTTAAGCAACAAAAGTTTTAAAAATCAATTAATAATTTTATCGTGCTTTAGTTTTGCTTTTCAAGTCTTCTACTAACTCAAAAAAAAGACATTTGCTTCATTGATATACATCAGAGGTTTTCCTCTTGGATGTAACATGATCGAGGTTTCTGAAAATTATTCATCTATTGGAAATGTCACATGATTTACGATGCAATGAAAATCAGTTCGACTATATAAGCATCTTCACTAATTCTGAAACAGTTTGATGTCATTCATTGAGTTTTTATTCTTTCTATATGTGAACATTTCAAAAATTTTTCATATAATTCAATAATTTCATTCGTTCCATAAAATCTTTCAATACTATTTGAATTTCAATAGATGTAAATTTAATGAAGGGTACTGATATATATTTAGAAGAAGAGAAATCCATACCCATTCAGCCTCATTACTTTTCTATTTTCAATTACAAAAATTATGATCTATATTTTTTGTAAACTGTTTTTCCATAAAAGTTCAGGAGTGTTCTCAGCGGTTGAGGAGGATCGTGGGTGACCGATCCCAATCTTGAAAACTTTTCGTTTTTCCACAGCAAAATTTGATCAAAGTTGTTGTTTTTTTCTCATCAATTCTCAAAAACAAAGTTCGAATCCCGCCCAAAAACTAATAACGTGTAATTGATAATTCTTCCATAATCGAAACAGACTAATCACTTGTGCTACCATAGGCGGCGCACCATATATATGCGAGGGGAAGCAATAACTTTTTATTGCTTCCCCTGATATCCCAATATTCTGATACTTTTTGTAGAATGTTTAGTTGCTGAGAAGCTTATTTTTTCTCCTGAGAAGACTACTGTACATCGTGCATGCCGGACATTTATCTTCGCCAAGAAATTAAAAGTCGATTAGCACCACTTGATAGCACAAAAATAAAGATCAGTGTTCTGCTTTTCTGTGGTTCAGAGAGAAACTATCGATCAGCTCTCATTATTTTGTATTTTCTTCGATTTGTTTACAGTTTTGTGTATTACGTTTAAATATAATTTATATGGTGGTGATGTTGTAGCGACCACATTAAGTGATAAAGATAATTTTCTTGTTAATTGATTTTATGCTGTATTATATGTAATTATATTATCAATTACAGAAAGATTTAACCATAATCGACTCTCCCTCACACAATCATCGGGGAATTGTCTGAAAACTACGAAATCCTCAGGAACTCACTCTGACTCCTTAGAGCATGCTGGGGAATTTATCAAAGAGTGCAGGAATATATTTACCGTTTTCTTTTGCGCGTATGGAAGTATAAAAGAAACTCAACATTTAGAAGAAATAATTGTTTATTTTTAACATCAAGTTTTGCCCAAGGTAGAAGATTCTCTTGGAAAGAGACATATTTGAAAAAATGGGTTTCGATTCACAGCAAGCTAACAAAATGTTAAATGACTTGGAAACTCCTGAGAAATCGCTAAACTCCTTGTGGAATGTCTGAGAATCTCTGGGGGACTCCCCTCGCGAGTTTCTAGGAAGTTTTACAGGGAACTTCCGGGGGAGTTTTCAGGGGAGAACTGACTAGGGAATGCAAATAGTATAAATGTAATCGTTTTATCTCAAAAATAATTTTTAACAAAATTTTTGTTTAATGATTAAGAATTAAAACAAATTGCTTATTTTTACAATATGAATTATGCTGATTTACGGATTAAACAACGTATGTCATTATAAAGTAGCACTTGGTGAAAAAAATATTATACGGACTATCCCAGTAAATGTTTGTGAATACTGAAGGAACTTTTCCTCCTTAAGAAGACTTTATACATACATTCGTACATACAACAGGACGAGAAAGACTATTATTGTTATCAGTTTAAAAAATGTATTGCTTCCCCTCGAGACCTGAGCTTGTGCCGCTCATGTGCACTACATATAAACTTTAAATACTAGTTCAAAAATAAAAGTGTCTTACATAATTATGATTTTATAGTTTCATAGACTATTCCACTCATTTACGAGCAAGTCCAACATTGATAGTTTTTTCGAGTTGTGTTTGAAGAAGAATAACTCAAACATGATCACCACTTGCAAGATGGCAACATTATTTTCTCTTCTTCGATCGATGATACACATGATATAACAACAAGCCTGTTTGAACATATTCATGTCAAACAAAAAGAAATAAGATGAAACAATGATGACTATAAAAAGAAAATTTCAAAAGAGATCTAGGAAAGTAAAATCTTCTACTGCTTTCTCCGTGGCTAAACAATCATGCTGTATCATAACTTTTTACGCCTATCTTAAATTAACTCTGAGTAATCTTACTCCTAAAAACTTGAAGGAACTCAATTTCATAGATTTTATACTATCTATATAAATAAAGAAGTTATACTATTCCCAGGAGAATCATTTCGATAATCGGACTAGACCGAATTGTGTGGGACTTTTATAAAATTAACGAAATCCTATGGGTATCCAGGAGACGGAAGTTCTATCTACTGGAATCCGATCGGATTTTGTTGGTTGATCGGATCCGATAAGATTTACTCGAACCCAGTATCGGATTCATTCACCTGGGTTCTTGATAATAAATTGTTTTTTCTGTATCGCTTTCTTCTGTACAGAATATGGTTTTAAACTAAAGAATGGCATTTCCCTAATTTCTACTAGAAAGATAAAACAAAAATAGCAACATTTACTTGTATGCTTTCTGTATTTATTTGCTTTATCGTAAACCTTATTTAGTTCATTTGCGAGATAGTTTTCTGAAAGAACTCCAAAAATTCAGTGTTTATTCATTTCTTTTTTTGTAATTTTTATTATTTGTAATGATTATGAATTATTATGATTATTGCGATTCATGTCACTAAATCTACAATAATCCGAACATTTTTACACATGTTTTCTCTTTTTCAACCATGATGTATAAACGTGATTGTGAATTCAATAAGCGATACGGAGCGCCCTCTTTCATATTTTCGACATAGATCATCATTTTGATGTAATGTGAAAAACAATGCTCAGACCATTTCACAATGGGCTCTGTTACATTTGTTTTCGTCCGCTATGGTTCGGCTATATAAGCGTATCCAGATCGAACAGTACGGTCCGTATACGGCTATTGACGGTTACTTTACGACTATTTTACGGGCGAAACTTTGCCGTAATATTTGGCCCAGTAATACGACCGTATTATCATGAGAGTACGGAGCATAAACAGCTGTAAACCATGAAAATTCAGTCTCGTTTACGGTGCCGTATTACTGCACCAGGTATTACGGGCAAATACGGCCTATTTACTACCATAAAGATACCGTTTTGACATCGTTTACCGTCGACAAGCAGACCGTAAACGAGTCCGTTTTGATCAACCTGGGTATACAATTTCGTATTAATGCAGAAACATCGTACTTCTTATATTGTCAGTGATGTGCCAACCAAAAAATAGGGTAAATAGTCTTTAGACGAATATTTCTATTTTAACTATTGTCTTTTTTTAGTTTAAATAATATAGCTAGTTTCCAATGATAGTAATTAATTTACACGTCTTCGTTTTTCAGATCGTAAGAAATAGAAACTGTTATGTATAAGTAATCTTGTGTATTATATTTTTCGTTTCAGAATAATATGACGTCAAAGTCAAACAAGGTTAAAAAAATCATCGAAGAATTTACCGCATCAATAGAAGAAAGAGATATGGCAATCGAAGAAAAAGAGAAAATTATTGGAGAACAAACACAAAAGAAACTGCACGATGAAGCGATAATACAGTCACTTCAAAATCAAATCAAATCACTTAAAAGCAATTCAAGCAATATGGATGATGGCAATATTTGGCAATTGGCTCCGTTATTATTCGAGTTGCCAATATTGATTCTAATGTTTCCTGGTAAATGAAACCAAAATAACGTTTTTGACTGCTCAATTGTTCTTTCGTTAATTTTCTATGTCATTCATATATTGTTTTTTTTCATTTGTTGTTAATTGAATTACATTAAATAAAAGTAAATGTTGTAATGTGTATTGATATCAATACATTATATTTTACATGCATCAACAATAATAACACTAAGCAAAGTATCAATATTAAGTAGGTGTCTGTTCTTTTTGAGAATTACACTGGTTACAGTTTAGTAGCATTATGACGCAATTTAGACGTATCAATTGACAGCGGAAGGATCGCTCAAAACAATTCACATCAAGTACAATAATGATTGAACAAGATGAATCAGTAATTTTAGTATTTGTAAGATATGAATTAAATTCTTGATCATTATCAATCATGTGAATTTCATCAGAATTGCCTGTTGCACTTGATTGACAACCACTTTCGTGTGTACCGTTGGGATATCAAACGCAATAACATCCATGATCAAATGATTTATATAAATCATTTGATCAGCAACACCCTTTGGTTGTGAACTAAAAACAAGTAAAATGTAAAAAATAAATGAATGGAAATAATGAATATATCATGATCCAAACAAAAAGTCAAAACATGAATTGAATATATCAAACTTATTCTTCTCTTTGTTTGCTATTCCATCAAATACTGATGAAAAAAACGTGTAAATGCTTATACTATTCATTTATATCAGCAGAAAATATTAATAAGGAAGCTGATGATTGAGATTCCTTGATCACATTATACCGAGATACGAAGTTTTTTTTAAAGAAATGTATTTGAAAAAATGAAGATATTTTTTATTTGATATATACTGTCCATTTCAGATTTTCGCAAGTGAAAAATGACTTGAATCGAGTCAAGTCTGACTTAACTTGTGAGCAGCCTTGACTTGACCTAGACATGTAATCAGGGTTGCCACCTCATCAGGTCAGAAAAGTGGAAAGTTTGATCAAAAAGAGCGAGAAATAGCGGAAACAAAAATAGAAAAAACGGAAAGCTGCCTTTTGCTGACCTTTCACATTTCCAAGAGTTTAAGTAACCTTGTTTTATTGCTCATAGTACTACTTTATTCGCAGTTCCACAACCCAGGTCGTTCCTGCCCGGCCGTAAACGGCCGTACACCAATCATTTACTTTGAAAAACGGCATTCGTTTACAGTGGCCGTTTACGGCAGTCATATACGACGTTTTACGGCGTATTACGTTAATCGTAAACAATGACCGTAAACTTTCGCGTTTTACGACCACCGTAAAAATACGGAGAAAGTAAACGATGCTCGGACAATGTCGTGAAATATCGTAAGCGATAGCTACTTACAGTGGCCGTTTACGACAGACATATACGATGTTTTACGGCGTATTACGTTAATCGTAAACAGTGAACGTAAACGTTCGACTTTTACAACTACCGTGAAAATACGGTGACTGTAAACGACATTCAGAATATGCGATAACAAGGGGAAACAAACTGATTTCAATAGGTGAAATCAATCGAAATCATGGATATCATTGGAAATCATTGGAAATCATCAGAAAACAAAAGGGATTATTTCAAATAGCTAAAAATCATTCGAAATCATTTCAAACGACCTGAAAGGTTTCAAGTAAATTAGCACGATTTCACATGAATTCTTTGATTTCTTAAACTTTCTATCGATTTCCACAAAATCTGATTGATTTTTAATCATTTCTAATTATTTCTACTGAATTCTCATGATTTCTACTGAATTTTGATAACTTTTTGGCGCCATTGAAAATCCTGAGGGTGTGGATCTGGGTAAAACCGCTATTTTCCGTT